ATCTGCAAAGTGACCAATCATGGCATGATATTCAATTTGTGTGATCGACCAATCACGAGAAAGTTATCCTATATATATAAACGTAGATTTCACCCTCATACGATCTGCATAACGGGTTTAACCAGATTTATCGTTTAGTGGATTTCACCCTTTTGTATTACAGTATTATAATCATTAATTAATACCTGTCTAATATAATAACTGGAATTACAACTGGATTATAGCTGCGATTTTCAGAAAGTCATTAAAACCAACTTGTAATAAAAGTAAATATGATTCTATTTTGTGTTGTTTCCATACCACGCTATGCTATTTATAACTTCCCATAGGGAGCTTTAATGTGATTTAGGGCCTTCCGATAAACGATGATCTTACGTAATAAATCATACTTTTATATATGTTGTATAACGATAAGAGAGAATTTATGAGAGGACAAACTAAGGTTAGTTCGTGTAAATCTTGTGCTACTATTTTTTAAATTTAATGAATTTTATTTCACTTACAATGTATACATGTATACATCCCAAAACCGGAGTTTATAAAGAATTTTTTCATAATTTAGTGCTTATATATGGACAAATTTATATTACTTATCGTTATTTTCTAATTAACCAAATTTTTATTCAAATAGTTTTCAAGTCTATCGCTATGAGAATATTGAATTAAAAATCAAAAATTGATTTTTTAAATGGTAATATTTATAGCCATTCTTTTGACCACTGTATAAAATATAGCAAATGTATGATAAAAAAGTAATTATCATTGTTGGAGATAAGGTATTCGAACATTCTTTTCAATAAAATGATTTGCATTTTAAGAAATTTATTCTTGCATTTTCTGAACTATTTTGTATCAGATCACCATTTGGAGTTACTATGCTGTGTCTAGTTGCACGAACTTTCAAGTACATACACTTGCGTGCGTATGTACGTACGTACCTATATATGAGTTCTTTGTTCAAATTGGTCGATATGGCTTCAGCACCACCAGCACTCTGTTTTAACGAAATATTCAAATATCTACGTGGTGATATTTCTTCGCTGCATTCTTGTGCTCTGGTAAACCATCACTGGTCAGAGTACGCCATTCCGGAACTATGGCGCGATCCATTCGTTGTCACTAAATTTAAAAGTCGTCGTACCAAACTTATTTATTCGCTATTACCTTTTCTTTATCATAATGACAAACATCAATTCGCTCCATCTGCTCTTTATAGATCCCCCTGCTATCACTACTTGTCTTATATGAGAAATTTTAGCTTCTCAGGACTTATCAAGATTAGCAAGGGCATTGCACGTGAAGTAGTACCCGAAAATTACAAGAAAAGTGTCTTTAAAAAATCTATCGAC